TTTTTACTTTTTATTTTAAAATAATTTCAGACTTAGAGAAAAGTTGTAAAAATAGGACCGAGAGTTCCCCTATATCCTCTTGCCCAGCTCCCTCTCAAGTTAACATCTTACATAATCACAGTATAATGATCAAAATCAAGAAAATAACATGGGGACAACACTATTAAATAAAATTAAACTGCAGACTTTATTCAGATTTCACCAATTTTTCCACCAACGTTCCCCCACCCCCACCCCATTTCTAGGATCCCATTGGATGGTACGTTAAATCTACTCACCCATACGGGTCCTTCCGTCTTTCCTTACATGAATTGTGACCTTGACACTTTTGAAGGGTACTGGTCAAGAGTTTTGTAGAATGTCCTTCATTTCGGGTTTATCTCATGTTTTTTCATCATTTGAGGGAGGTTTTCCTTCTGGGGAAGCAAAACGGAAGAAGAGGCCCTCTTTTCACTACATTAGGGATACCTGATGTTCACATGTCTTCTTCCTGAGATTATGCAGCTTAATCACTTGGTTAAGATGGTGTCTGCCGTATTTTTCCACTGTTCAGTTATTATTTTTCTTTTTGTAGTTAATAAATACCTTTTAGACAATGCAAATACGAGCTTCCTCCTTAAACTTCTCCCACTAATTTTTCTATCCATCAGTGGACGCTGGCTGCCGTGATTATTACTATGGTGTTCTAATGGTGAGCCCCTATTTCCCTCATTCCTCCTGCATTTATTAATTGGAATCCTTGTGTAAGAAAAAGGAAATGGCAACCCACTCCAGTATTCTTGCCTGGAAGATCCCATGGACGGAGGAGCCTGGTAGGCTGGAGTCCATGGGGTCGCAAAGAGTCGGACACGACTGAGCGGCTTCACTTCTGTAAGAGAGAACTGTTCTTTCCTCTCCCGTCTTTACTCATTTATGTATTCATTTATTCATTCACTCATATACATAGATATGGATTTGTGGATGTCTTATTCCATGGGTTATAATCCAGTTCTGAAGCTGGTATAACAGGCTTTGAACACATGTTTCTGGAAGAAAGCAAGGCAAGCCCAGAAAGAGAAAGAAAAGAAGAAATTGGTCGGGAACGTGTCGTAATCATCTGTATCTAATACATCTTCATCAGAACACAGCATACAGGTCAAGTAAAGTGCTCCAGTCCATCCGTGTGTGCTGGTCGGAGGGGCTGTCCTACAATGCAGGCCTGGGACGACGGTTGGGAGACACTGCACTGCCCTGGGAGCCCCTGGGAGCCCCTGGGAGGGGGGCTGTTTTTTCTTGCAAAGGTCTCAGAGTCTACATACTCTGGGGCCCCTTGCCCCTCCCCCGCTGTCTCCTCTCGGCCCCTCATTCGTTCAGTTCCACTCACACGGCTGTGCTCCCGGAGGCAGGCTCTCTGCACTGACCTGGCCTGCTCTTCCCTAGCTGTCGCTTGACCCTCTCCTCCTGCAGCTCTTCTCCCGGGAACTCCCCTGACCCCACCCACCCACCCCAAACTGCTGCCTCTCTTCCCACACTGCCTCCCTCCTCCCATTGCACTACATATTTTTTTCCTATTTGTTCTTTCATTTCTGTCTCCCTCCTCTTGAATCTAAGCGCCTGGAGGAGCAGAGGGACTGACTTCAGTGAGGCAACAGGAGGGGGGACAAATACAACACAGTGTGGAAGCCCTGAGGAGTGGTCAGGTAGGGCTTCTCGGAAGAGGAAGCCTCTAAGCTACGGAGCCAAAGGTTGTTCAGGTATCAGTGAGGTGAATGGAAGCGTGTCGGGAAGAGTCTTTTAGGAAACAGGTGAGAGGGAACAGGCCACTCAGGGGGCATTGTGGCTGCTCCAGACGGCTGGCATAGGGACCTCAGCACGGGTCACCTACATGGCAGGTCATGGAGCCACTCGGGGTCCTGGGGGTGGGGGGAATGGCAAACAAAACAGCTCCTGCTGTCACCAGGGAGACTGGAACGAGTGGGGAGAAGGGAGAGGAGGTGGGTCCTGAGGACAAGCTGTCTGGTCCACAGGAATATTCCTGGACCATTCTCGGGTGAGAAAAGCTAGGTAGCAAAAGCCAGACATCAGAGAGATTGAGGTGGAATGTGGGGCCTAATTTTGCTAGAAAACACGGAATTTGGTCTTTATCCCCAGGACAGAGCACCACGGGGGCATCTCAAGCCTAGAAATGACACCATCCAACTTGTATTTTGGGAAAGAATCCATCTACTCCTTTCTGAAGAAGCCTCGACTCCACTCAACAATGTCCACTTCTGTTTAGTAACCTTTCTTCCTTCAGCATGAAATTCCTATTGTTGTTGGGTTTTTTAAGATTTTTTTTTATGTGGACCATTGTTAAAGTCTTTATTGAATTTGTTATAATACTGCTTCTGTTTTCTGTTTTGGTTTCCTGGTCAAGGGATCTTAGCTCCTCAAGTGAAAGTGAAGGTCGCTCAGTCATGTCCTGCTCTTTGCGACCCCATGGACTGTATAGTCCATGGAATTCTCCAGGCCAGAATACTGGAGTGGGTAGCCTATCCCTTCTCCAGCAGATCTTCCCGACCCAGGAATCGACCAGGGACCAAACCCCGAGCCCCCTGCATTGGAAGGGGAAGTCTTAAACCATTGGACCACCAGAAGTCCCTCCCTTTCCCTAATTCCTGAGAACTGAATACTCGTGGCCTGGGTAGGAGACCCCAAAGCTTTCACCCTCTCCTTATTTTACTGGCTCCCACACTGGTCCTTCAGGTCCATTTTCTTGCTTTGCATTTATCGTAATTAATAATTCCATATTTGTGTGAGTGTTTACATGTTTATGGGCTTCCCTGGTGGCTCAGAAAGTAAAGAATCTGCCTGTAATGCAGGAGACCCGGGTTCGATCCCTGGGTCAGGAAGATCCCTTGGTCAGTTCTGGGCCACCAACCACTGTTTTGACTGTGGAGTACATACTTCCAGTGGTTTTCAACATAATTTTAAGGTGTTAGGCATTCTTCCTAACACCTATTGAGTGATTACCTTGTTACAGGCATTGTTCCCATCATAGGAGCAGAAACTCATTTCATCCTCACAACTAGCTTGTGAGGTTGCACTATTTTATATCCTCATTTTACAGATTAAAAAAAAAAAGGTGAGACCTTACAGACTTAGAAAACAAACTTATGGTTGCCAGGGGGAGGGGATAGTTAGGGAGTTTGGGAAGGTCATGTACACACTGCTATATTCAAAATAGGTAGGTAATCAACCTGTGGGACCTATTATGTAGCACATGGAGCTCTATTCACTCTTATATGCCAGCCTGGATGGGAGGAGGTTTGGGGGAGAATGGATACATGTATATGTATGGCTGAGTCCCATGTATGACTGTCTCACCCAGTCCTCCCTTTTTACAAAGGAGTCCTAGGTTGGAAGGTGTTATCTGTAATCAGGTCTGTCCTGGTAAGCCATGGTGGGGTAGCCGGGTTAAGACTAGGACAAAGTTGGGACTTCCCTGGCCACCCAGTGCCAGGCATCAGTGCTTCCATTGCAGGGGGCACAGATTCGATCCCTGGTCCCTAAGATTCTGAATACCTTGAGGTGTGACCAAAAGAAAAAAAAAGAACTTGGACAAAATTGCTGCCTCTCTCTGTTGCCCTCAGTGGGCCCTGCACGCATTGCCTGCAGCATAATATGTATGACACCCTCGGGGCTCCCACTCTGCCCAGACCTCAAGCCTCCCCCCCATCTCTTTGCCCATCACCCCATTCCTCCCCTAGCTTCCCTTTTGCCTTCTGGGCATTCTGGGGACACCTGAGCTCCCCACATCTTTACCCTCAGCATGACTGCTCTTGATGATGGCTAATGGTTGGTGTTGCCTGCATTGCTGGACCACCAGCTCCAGGAGAAGAGGAGCAGGTCTACTTTGTGGAGCCCCCAACTCCAAGCACAGCCTCCGGCTAAGAAATACATGTTGAGAAAACGGATGCTTGTAGTGGGAGAACAAGGGAGAAATCATTGCAGTGGTGAAGGTGAAAACTAAAGTGGGTCTGTGTTAGGTGCGCATGGGTGTGCTCAGTGGCTCAGCCCTGTCTGGCTCTCTGCAGCCCCATGGGACCACTGCCCGCCAGGCTTCTCTGCAATTTTCCAGGCAGGAATATTGGAGAGGTTGCCATTTCCTACTCCAGGAAGATCCTTCTCCACCCAGGGATCGAACCTGCATCTCTCGCGTCTCCTGCATCGGCAGGTGGATTCCTTACCACCAACGCCACATGGGAAGCCCTCGGGGTGGGGGCAGGGGTTGTTAGGAGAGGGAGGGGAACAAGCCCAGATGGGAAAGGATTTACAGAGCTAGAATCTAGATATTTTGGGTTTTTGTTTGTTTGCTGTTGTTGTTTTTGACGTGGATCACTTTTAAAGTCTTTACTGAATTTGTTACATATTACTTCTGTTTTTTTCTTTTTTTATTGCTTCTGTTTTAGGGTTTTGGGTTTTTTTGGGGGGGGTGGCGGCTGGGAGGCATGTGGGATCTCAGCTCCCCCACCAGGGTTCAAACCTGCACTCCCTGTATTGGAAGGCGAATCTCAACCACAGGACCACCAGGGAAATCCCACAGATGTTTGTTTTTAATGGTGAGAAAACATTATCGCTAGTCCACACCCTACTCATCCCAAAGCGGTAAATCATTGCAGATTATCTGGAGCCACTGAGGTCTTTTGAGTAGAAAAGCGATTGTTCCACAACTGGCACTGTTCTGCATGTTTTATGTTTTGTAAGTTGCCTCAATCTGACACAGTAATAGAGCCCCTCACCCCTGAGCCCACCCTCTGTGCTTGCCCCACTCACTGCCCCGGAACACTAGCAGGTGTGGCCACTTGAGTGCTGCCTGAACTTCTTAGGCGACGCGTGTGCTGGTAAGGCTGATGGCCTGTTGGCAACATCTCCATTGCTGTGACAGGGCTCTTGTTGTGCTAACAAGGTCATACATCTGCAGGTTCCCTCAGATGCTGCTTCTCAGCCACACTGAGAGGGAAAGAAGGCTAGCTTATTACCAGGTAGTCCATGGCTCCCACAGGCCAGCAAGCGAGCAGAGAAAGGCCCACCTGTTAATCCTAAAAATCATCATGGGGCGAGACAACCTACAATCAAATCCCATTGCTGACACTCTGCATCCTGACAAGTTACTGAACGTCTCGGTGCTTTCCTTTCCCCGACTGTACTGTGAGGAGTAAATGAAATATACATGGAAAGCCTTTCGCACATCCCTGGCAGGTGGTAAAAGTTAGCTAATATTAAATTCCATCCCTCCTGTCCTCTATAGAAAAATCCGACAGGAAGCCCAGAGGCCTCCTACACAGCAGAGCTGGGGTGAGATGAGGGACAGTTTTCAGGGACCATCCACTGGGTGGCCTGAGGTTGGGGAGGGGCATGCTGGCCCTCCTCGTGGGCCTTCAGCAGGGCCCTGTGGCAAGGCCTAGGGCTTCCCAGATTCACAGCTCCCACCCTAGACCTGCCCTTGGTATTCTCTGTTGGGTGGAATGAAACCACGTTAGTTTTATTTGCTTGAGGTATGTTTAGAAACACTGGAGCCCATGGGGACAGGCTGGTCCCATCTGCAGCCCCTTCATTCACTTATTCTTTTTTTTTTTTTGACTGTGCCAAGCCTTAGTTATAGCATGAGAGATCTTTAACTGCAGCATGGGAGATCTAGTTCCTTGACCCCCTGCATTGGGAGAGCAGAGTCTTAGCCACTGGATCACCTGGCAAGTCCCTCATTCACTTATTATTCATTTGACTCCTCAGACTGTGCTGTGCTTCCCAGGTGGCGCTAGTGATAAAGTCAGTGCAGGAGAAGCAAGATACATAGGTTCAATCCCTGGGTCAGGAAGACCCCCTAGAGTAGGAAATGGCAACCCACTCCAGTATTCTTGCCTGGGAAATCCCATGGACAGAGGAGCCTAGTGGGCTACAGTCCATGGGGTCTTAAAGGGTCAGACATGAATGAGCAATTGCACACACACACACAAAACACATACAGACACTGTGCTGGACATTAGGGAGTCTGTGATGTCTAAGCTCCCTCTAGGGAGTCCTGTCTCCCTCTAGGAGCTCACAGTCCTTGCAGAGGAACCAAAAGAGCCAAGAGGGAGCTTCGATCTAGCAGCATCCAGACCACTGGGCCCTGCCTGGAGACGCAGGTGTGGATGGCGGGAGCCCAGGTGGAAGGCCCAGCTGAAGCCAGGCAGGGAAGTGAGAACTGGTTTGTTCTGCTGCATCGGAAAGCCTGCAGCAGGGTGGCTGGAGAATAGGCTAAAAATATGGCCCAGAGCCTCATAAACTTCCCCCCAAATGTGGCAAAAGGCCTGCTCCCTGGGGTTGTGTGTGTTATTCACTCAGTCGTGTCTGACTCTTTTTGACCCCATGGTCTGTAGCTCACCAGGATCCTCTGTCCACAGGATTTCCCAGGCAAGAACACTGGAGTGGGTTGCCATGTTCCTCCTCCAGGGGATCTTCCGGACCCAGGTATTGAACACGGGTCTCCTGCTTGGCAAGCAGATTCTTTACCATCCGAGCCATCAGAGAAGCAAGAACGGAATTTGCTTTTTCCAGAAGATGGAGTGTCGGGATGGGTTAAAAAGGGAGACCTGGCAATCAGAGGCGAAGGGCGCTCTGGATGATGGTCTGAGGACTAACGGTGAGACCCAGGCAGACGGGAGGGACACTGAGGGGTAGAATCAGTAGGACCTGGACCCTGGCTGAGCCGACAGTCCTGCAAGCTTCCAGAATGGCAGCGCAGGCCCCCGCACTGACTTCAGTCCCTGCACTGGGAATGCCAGGCCGCTCTGACAATGGAGTTGTGCAAGTCTGTGGAGCCCAGCTGAACAGGCGGAGCAGCCTATTGCCTCCAGAACCTGTCCCATGCCAGCATCCAGCTTTGGTTTGGCTGAACTACCCAAGTGACCCGCCCATGCCCCCTCATAGCAAAGCATGAACTAAGCACTTAGCATAGAACCTGGCACAGGTTCTACGACACTCAGTAAATGGTAGGTGGGATTATTTATTAAGCCTCAGTAGGGAGCACTCGGGGCTTCCCTGGTGGCCCAGTGGTAAAGAACCTGCCTGCCAGTGCAGGAGATGCAAGACACATAAGTTCAATCCCTGTGTTGGGAAGATCCTCTGGAGAAGGAAATGGCAACTCACTCCAGTATTCTTATCTGGAAAATCCTATGGACAGAGGAGCCTGTCAGGCTACAGACCATGGGGCCACAAAGAGTTGGACAAGTCTTAGCAACTAAAAAAAAAAAATGGAGCATGGGGGTAGGGGTGGCGGGTGGTGAGAACAAAAGACTTCTTCCATTCACTCAGTATTCACCTACTGAACAGTCTGGGGACAGGCCCTGGACAAGACCAGCTAAGGCACTCTGTCGGAACTGACTGAGGGATGGCCTGAGGCCCTAAGCACTGCAGGACGGAAGGAAGCTGAGGAGAAAAGGGGGTTCCTTCAGAACTCTTCCTAATGCAGAGGTGGCAACTGAAGGGTCAGGGTCTGGCTTCTCAGAGCCTGCACTGAGTATCTTATCATCATCTAGAAGCAGTGTTCAAGTCACGTGGCCTTTCTAAAAACAGGCCAAGGAGCAAGCAAGTACTCCAAGTGGCTGGCACGACCTGGAGAGCCTAGGCCTGGCACACAGAAGGGCCCAGGGCAGGAGGGGGCCCTGGGCTGGCTGACTTCCGGAAGCTTCAAGGGCCCACCTTCTGGCCAGAGGGAAAGTCTCCTTTATTGGCTTCTCCAGGCCCAGCCCGCTGCCTTTATCACTGCACCCTCCGCCCAGCACAGGCCTGGTGCCAGAAGCCTCAGAATATTTAATGGGCTGTTGTTGTCGTGTGTGTCAGACTCTGCAAACCCCATGGACCGCAGCAGCCAGGCTTCCCTGTCCTTCACCATCTCCTGAAGTTTGCTCAAACACATTGAGTCGGCGATGCCATCCAACCCTTTGGTCCTCTGTTTTAATGGGAAGTGAAAGTGAAAGTCGCTCAATCGTGTCTGACTCTCTGCGACCCCAGGGACTGTCCATGGAATTCTCCAGGCCAAGAAGTGGGTAGCCCTTCCCTTCTCCAGGAAGTCTTCCTCCACCCAGGGATAGAACCCAGGTCTCCCGCACTGCAGACGGATTCTTTCCCAGCTGAGCCACAAGGGAAGCCCGTTTTAAGGGGAGGAAGGAGCCCAGACCTGTGTGACTGGGTTTGTCCTGCAGAAGCGGAGCGGCGCTCGGCCCAGCCCTGCAGGTGGCGCGCAGAAGCGCCATTCCCATTAGACAGACCAGGAAGCCGAGGCCCAGAGAGGCGGCTTGCCCAGGTCACACGCAACTCGTGTGCCCGCGCTGCCGGCCGCTCGGACCGCGTCCTGTCTACCCCTTCCCCAAGCCTGCGACCCCCGGCCCCCAATAGTGCAGCACCCGCCTCCTGCTCTGCGGGGTTTCTTTGACTGCAGATACCCGGGCACAACCCCCGGGAACCCCCACTCCCACCCGGGCCCTGCCCGCCTGCCCGCCTGCCCGCCCAGCCGCGCCGCCTCGCTGTGCGCCCCCGGGCAGCGCACCTGCCTGGAGTGGGTCGGGGCGGGGACCGGCCGGGGTCGAGGGCCGCCCCACTTCCGGAGGCGGGGTGGGGGTGGCGGGGCCCGCGTCTACTTTTCAGTGATGGAGCCTCGGCTGCGGCCTCCGGGGGGCCCGGGCGGGGAGCGGGGTGGGGGTGGGAGGAATCTGAAAAGGGAACTCGAGAGCAAACCGGTGGCGGTTTCTTTCGCCCAGATCCGGGCACAAAGGCGCCCGCGGGCGAGTCGGCGCGGGCAGGCGGTCCCGAGACCCCGCGGCCGCCAGCGCCCCGGGGGCTTCTGCAGAGGAGGGAGACCCGGGCGGCCGTGGCCGGCTGGGTCAGGCCACACCCCGACACCTGGGCCTGGGGCGGAGAGAGCCGCGCCCTAGGGCTCTGCTCTTTCCAACCTTTGTTCTGGCTTCAGCGCGCGATCCCCGGGCCCCTCCACCCTCGCTGCAGGACTAGGGGTTAGTGCGGACCTCGACCCTTAACCTTCGCTGATCCGCGGGCCTCCCCGCGGTCTCGGTCCCAATCCTGCCGCCCCGGGCGGGGCGGGGGTGGGCGCGCGCGGGCGCGCGCGCGGGGTCCCGGCGGCTGCACGTGCCGGGCCTCAGAGGGGACGGAGCCCCGTTCTCGCCCAGGTGTCCCGGCCGCCGGGACCGGGCCGGGGGTTGGGAGCTGCGGAGGCGAGCCCGCTGGAGCGCCCTGGACCCCTTGCCCTGGTGGACATAATAGACAGGATCAGGGCCACGCTGATAGCAGTTAGTGACAGTCAGCCCTCACTAAATGGGTGAGATCACAGCCACAAGGGCTGACCCGAAGAGCCGGGCGAGAGTTCCTGTCCTTAAAGTTACAGGCAAGTTGGTAATCTTGGATTTTCTGTTTAATCATATTATGGAGGATTTTTTATCATAAGCGAAAGTCACGATGGTAAGATGAGCCCCCAGGTGCACAGCACTCAGATACAGTTATCAGCACGTGACCATCTGGTTCTGCCTGACCCTCTCTCTCCACCCACGGCCCGACCTGTCATTGTGAAACAGATCCTTGGCATCAGGTCAGATTTCAGTTGTGCCCCCTGAGACACTTACTGGTTTTTGATGAAAAGCCCTTTGTTTAGAAAACATTTAAAAAGCTGAATAGATTAAAACATTAAGGAGTGGAGATACACATGAAGATAAAGGAGACTGAACAGTGGAAGGAGTGGAAAGACTGAAATGATGGCCATGCTCTGGGGGGGGTGGGAGGGCAGCATCAGTTTGCCAAGGTGAGAGCTTGAGCAGAGAGGAGCCAGGGAGAAGAGGTGTGATTCAGGACACCAGTCAAAGGTAGAAGTGACCAGGTTTGCTGATGGATTAGACAGGAGTCTTGAAGAAGAGAGGCTTCGAGGATGCGAAGCTAGAACAGAAGTTGCTTTGAACTGCCATGAGGAAGACTTGGGGAAGATTTGGGGGAAACTGAAGTGGAG